ACATTGCACTCTACCTTCCCCAGCTCCACCTGTATAGATCTGCTAGGGGTTATTTTATATGCTATTTGTGCAGCAGCGGTATGTCTTAAATACTCACAGCACCATATCGGCTCATGTATTGGCAGTAACAAGTTCCTGTACTTGCTTGCAGCAGCAATAACCAACAGCAGCGTAGCAGATCTATTCTGCCAAGACCAAATACATTAACAACACACACACATATATATATATTGGACAGATATGTCCCTCTTTGGTAGGAACGTCTAGGAACTATCCATCACCATTAATTTGAAGGGGATTTTATTTTGAAGACGTACCGGAAGTCCTTCCTTCATAACTTCCGTTTACAGATTGTCCTCTTAGCGTAGCTCACAACAGCGCGCTTCAGCACCGGATTGCGGTTGATTTCAGCGTGAAATAATGGATAACCCTCAGCAGTTCAGTTACATGGGCGCTCCGCCGCCTCCCTTCAATGATCCCGCGGGTTTAGATGGCGCTGTTTATGCAGGAGGAGGTGCGGGACCAGCGCCGATGCCTCCTCCACCTCCGCCTGCAGCGGGACACACGTGGAACACGTATCCGCATCCACCACCGGCGGTGCAGCATCACTGGCCCCCGTTCCCACCCTTCGACCCGAGCAGACCACCTCCGGGGAGCTTTGAACCTCCCCAGCACAGCGAGAACCCGCCTCCGTCCTGGTCCCAGAACCAGTGGCGTCCTCCAGAGCATCACTTCACGAGACAAGTCCCACCAAATCAGCATCAGTTTCCAGATGCAGCACCTCCATCGTATCAGTCCAGCGCCAGACTGGAGCTTTACACCTCCAACCGGCAAAATTACCCATTTAACAGCCAGTCTATGAACAGACCCTGGCTGGATGGCCAACGAAACCAGAGTAAAACCATCTCAATAACAGCTTCCGATGAAGAATCCATGCAGAGATTGAGAGATGAGCAGTGGATTCGGAGTTTCTTGCTTAAAAGAAGAAATAAATCCACTGAACCAAAGCACACCGAGTCCAAAGCGTCCATCTCTCAGTTCAGAGAGAAGCTGTATGGGACTGTTCAGATGCTGTCTGAGTTAAATATCGTGTGTCGGATGCTAAAGGATCATTTGGAGAATGAGGATGTTTGGACGGAGAGCCTCTCAAAAGCGACCGAGCTGAAGAACAGCATCCAGGAGAGCCTGACGGATCTGAAGGACCCGGACTGTGTCGGCGGCATCAAGAGGAAACTACTGCTGATAAATAAGAAGAGAGCAAGGATGCGGAGACGAAAGATGGAGCAAAAGGAGGAAAAGCAGGAGCAGGAGGCTAGACGTGCTGAACGAGAGGCGGAGGTTGATAAATGGCAGATGAAACGCATTCAAGAAGTGGAGGAGAAGAACAGAGTGAGGAAAACTTACAGCTTTCAATAGGGGGCGCCACTCACTCAGTTTTGCCACCAGTGGTTCAATCCTGTTATCCATTGTTCTTTAATCATATATTTCTTATAATGTCCCATAAAATATTATATTTATAAATATTACTTAATATTCTACTGTATTATTGTTATTATTAATTATACTATATAATTTTGTAATATTATACTATATTATTTACATGTTTTTGTAAGTAATATGTAACTTTATTAATATTAATTAATATTCTACTATATGTGACCCTGGACCACAAAACCAGTCATAAGGGTCAATTTTTTGAAATTGAGATTTATACATCATCTGAAAGCTGAATAAATAAGCTTTGCATTGATGTATGGTTTGTTAGGATAGGACAATATTTGATACAACTATTTGAAAATCTGGAATCTGAGGGTGCAAAAAAATCTAAATATTGAGAAAATCCTGTACTTGCTTGCAGCAGCAATAACCAACAGCAGCGTAGCAGATCTATTCTGCCAAGACCAAATACATTAACATTGTCATATCCATTACCATGATAAAATCTTCAGAGAGTTCTCATGATATAAATATTTATAGAGAGAGAGAGAATATATTATAGTGTAAGTTTGAGAGTATGCATTTAAATGTCCAGCAATGTCTGATCTAAATGTTTTGTTGCTGTTCAGGAGAAAGAGTTGAAGCTGGCCGCTGATGCTGTTCTCTCAGAGGTCAGAAAGAAACAAGCCGATGCCAAGAGAATGCTGGACATCCTCAAATCACTGGAAAAACTCAGAAAACTCAGGAAAGAGGCTGCAGCCAGGAAGGGTAAAACATAAAAATATGATTTGTGACCCTGGACCACAAAACCAGTCATAAGGCTCAATTTTTTTTAAATGTATACATCATCTGAATAAATAAGCTTTCCATTGATGCATGGTTTGTTATGATAGGACAATATTTGGCCGAGATACAACTATTTGAAAATCTGGAATCTTGCGGGTGCAAAAAAAATCAAAATACTGAGAAAATCGCCTTAAAATTGTCCAAATGAAGTTCTTAGCAATGCATATTACTAATCAAAAATAAGACCGTTTTGTGCTTGAGCGCCACCAAGTCGTGTTTTACTGTAACTTCAGCAGCTCCAGGCACGTGAACAAAAGCACCAATCTCATTGGTCGGCCAGTTTTTAACGCGGCGCGTCAAACCAAAAAAACGAGCCCGAGGCGTTTTAAAAAAAATTACGCTTTTACGCCTCGCGTTTTGCTCGTCGGTGTGCACACTCACATTGGCGCCCTTTGTTTAGTCGCGAGGCGTTAAACGTCGGCGATTATCGCGCGCGATATTCGTCCCGGTGTGAACAAGCCTTAAGACTGGTTTTGTAATCCAGGGTCACATTTTGTTTGCATGATTTAATGTAAAAAAATGTCCCTAAGAAATTGATCTGACACTTTATGGTTTGTATAACGTTATTCTTCACACCTTTTGAAGAAATCAGTCTACAAACGGCTTATTTATAGTTGTTTCTATATATTAAACTGGGATATAAAAAAATAATTTCAAGAAATTGAATTTCTTCATCATTTTCAGAAATTCATTTAGCCTAATTACTTCACCTATAAGGCTCAATTTCCATTCATTTTTCCAATTTTAACAGGCATGTTTCCAGGAAAGGAGAGCGATGAGAGATTTGAGGGTCACTTGGAGCGGTTGAGGAGTCTGATCCGTAAGCGCACGGCTGTGTATGCGACAGAGGAGAAAGCTCTGAGAGTCATGCTGGAGGGTGAGCAGGAGGAGGAGCGCAAACGAGACCGCGAGAAGCGACTGAAGAAAGAAAAAGAGAAGCTGTTGCAGAAGAAACGAGAGGTGGACACAATGCTGTTTGGAGGTAATTTTACACACACATCTATATCTATATTTTTTAGTGATGCACTGTTCAATCATTAGACTTGTTTTCCTAAAGACACAAGTTGGCAGTATAGTCATTTCTGAGTCCCTGTACTATTTGAGGATGTGCTTCACTGTTTCTTCAGATACGTCCTGAAATAGTACTGAATAAACCTACTGTTGATCTTTTTGTGCAGTGGGATTTATGTGGCACTTGTTGCCCTATTATAGATTCATATCAAATAAAATGTGCATTTGTTCAGTTGCATGCATGTAAACTCTATTCCTTTCTTTTTCTTTAGCTGAATTGCCACCTGATCACCCTCTTCAGCCGTTCCTAGATTACTACACACAGGCAGAGCGCTCCCTTCCTGCTCTTATTCAAATAAGGTCTATTTTCAAATCAGAAGTAAACTCTAAAAATAACTATATGAGTAAATGTGACATAACTCAAAGAATGTGAATCTCCCCTGACAGAAGAGAGTGGGATCAGTTCCTGGTTTCTGACAAACACCCTGACGGTACATCAGTTCCTCAGGGCTGGGTTCTGCCCGACCAACCAGCCGACGACATCTGGGCCACAGCCCTGGAGAAATGATGC